AGTGAACACAAGGATCTTTTTTTTATCTTGGTCTCTCTCCGCACCTGTTAAGAATACCTGCTTCTGAGAACAAACGACATTCTTGAGAGTAGTATGAGGGAAGCTGTGGAATTCCTCAATTTGGTGCTTTCTAAACTTGCCTCATGGGCAAACAGCTGGAATGCTTGCTACCAGGCCCCTCCCCGGAAGTTCTGGTTCTATAGACCCATGCAGGGCCCAGAAAACCACCAATGCCCCCATGCATCTGTGGCAAACATTGCTCTGAATCAGAATAACAATTGTGATTGTTCTCTGAGTTAATTAAGGGGATTTAATTGAGCTAACTCTCAGGACTGTGGTTAATGCAGACATATCTGTCTGTCGGTGCCTTGATCAAATTCTTTAACTCTTACACTTAAAAAAATTACATTCATCCATGAATGAATGGTACTGAGATAATAGCAGACTCAGGGGGCATTGCAGGATCTTTATATAACATTTCTGTGAAGGTCTTTAAAAGATCCTGAGTTACGAGGGCCAAGGTGACTCTGGCTGTCTCTGGGAGGCTGGAATCACCCAGGAGTGTGGTCCTGTAAATCAAGCTTTAGCTTTCCAGGGACCAGTTAACAAACAAGCCTTCTCTGTGGCTAAGGGAAAGAGGCTAATTTCTGGGGAGCAAGATCAAGTTCACTGAACGGTAGAGAGAAACAGAGCAGGTGTTTGCAGGTGTGGGAGACAGATCCAGGAGAAGAAGTGGAAGTAGAGGGTAGGGCAAGCTAAGCTGAAAATGCAGAGATAGGACCAAATCCAACAGCGGGATCATGAAGACAGAGCTGATGTCTGGATCCAGGGCAGACAGCCAGGAGAGAAGGCATGAGTCAGGGTGAGAATGGATGAAATCTACAGACACAGACTGCAGTCCCTGTTCCACGTTCTCTCCATGTGTAGTCAGTGGATAACTCAGACTATATAAATGTGGACTGAATGAGAGGTCCTAATATGTGCCTAAACCTCAATGGCAAAGTGAGAACGGGGATATGAATGAAGAATAAAATAGGAAAGGAGTCTACAACCTGCTATGATGCCGTGTGCTTTTTCTTTCTACATAGGCACTTATTTATCCCTCCAAAATTCCAAGATAGAATGGGACTTATTCAGGGAGAAAATTATGAATTTTTCTCTTCTCTAGTGCCCTAGTAAGGACAAAATTTGCCAGGCACAGCACATAGCTTTGGTAGGCACAAGTATCCTATCTAGCTGAATACCTCCCTTTCCTCTTACCAGGAGCTATTCTCTTAGCACATTTTTCTCTTCCTTCTAGATGTCTCTGTGTATAGCAAGCTCAGATCACATAGCACTTGTTGGAATAATTTAGCAATAATTGACCCAGAGACCCAACCAGATATTCTTACAATCTGGGAAGGATCAACTGCAATAAGTCTCCATTTATAAACAACATGGATTAACCATTCTTATATTACAAATACAAAATCAGAAATCATAAGCACTGAGAAAACATATGTACAATATCACAGCTGGTGTAAGGCTTTTAAACTCTTCCCAAGTCAATACCTTTATTTGCAAATGATTTCCATTTTTCTTTGTATTTATCCAAGTTGGAAACAACACTTAACCTTTACTCTCTCTTTTATAGAGTCAAAGGACTTAGCACGTTTTAGCAGATCTGGTTAAGTTGCTTACAATGACGAATGCCGTGGCTCATCATGATTCGGTACAGCTGTAAAAAGTGTAAAAAGAATAAAAGCATAGTTCTTGGGTTTCGTTAACTGACTTTTAGAGTAACGTGCATGCCATAATCATGGTATTGATCATAGCTAACTTTATTATTTTCTATGTGCCAGGCACTGCACTAAGCATATTACATAGATTATCTCATCTATTCTTTCCACTAACCCTCGGAGGTAGATAGTGGAATTATTCTCAACTTCAGATGAAGTGACTGAGGTTCAGAATGATGAATAACTTGTCAGTTGCCCACATCTAGGAACCGGAAGACCCAGGATTCAAATTTCAGCGGTAGGACTCCGGCACCCACATTCTTCTCTGCCACGCTCTGTGGTACCACTTGCATGACGCAGAAAGAGTGTTAGGGAAGAAATAGCACTCTAAGCCATGCCCACATGCTCAGAACCAGCCTGCAGAAGGGCATGTGTAAGTGGTGGTGTAGGAAATCAGACTTTCCTAATCTTTCCTACTTTTGGTAACTTTTCTCCATTTCCTCTGGTACTAAAACTACGTCTTTTCTCAGACTGAAGGGTATTCACACCCTCACTTTCATAAAGTGAGCAATAGCTTTTGATTGCATGGTTTAGTGTCAATGTCTGTTTTGGGGAGGAGGTTTCTCAGGAGGTGGGAACTGTTGGTGCTCATGTAGAGGCTGAGCAGAATCAGTGGCCTCAGTTCAGAAGCCCTTGGCACAGAGGTACGGACATGACAGCACTCTGAGCCAAGAACAGGGCTGGGGTAAGTGGCTCAGTGAGTGACAGCAGGAGCGGAATAACCTATAATGGGAGTCAGATACTCTGGCCTTTCAATCTTAGGGTAAATCATCACAATGATACAATGATAACTACAATGTGTGGTATTTATGGGATCTGTTTTACCCAGTGAGTTTGGGATACATTGGATATTGTCTCTCTACTTCAAATTTCCTCATCTACCTAGTGCAGCGGTTCTCAACCTGTGGGTCGCAACCCCTTTGGGGGTCGAACAACCCTTTCACAGGGGTCGCCTAAGACCATTGGAAAACAAAAAGATATTTACATTGTGATTCATAACAGTAGCAAAATTACAGTTATAGAGTAGCAATGAAAATAATTTTATGGTTGGGGATCACCACAACATGAGGAACTGTATTAAGGGGTCGTGGCATGAGGAAGGTTGAGAACCGCTGACCTAGTGGGAAAAAGGATGTTTCCATTTTTCCCTTCCCCCAACCATTCCTCTTATAAGTATACATTATACTTACTTGGGATTGAATAAATCATTATAAAATGACTAGCATGGCTTTGAAAAAGGCCTTTACATGTAACTTTTTTTTTTACCTCAGTGACTGTATCTTTAGGTAGAGAGCACAGATGTACTGAAATCTACTACTGCTTGGAAACTATTAACAAAGATGATTTTTATAACATCTTTAAATCAGCTGATTTCCCTTTCCAAATGATTTCTGGAATTTTTTTCTAATTTACCTTTCTTAGAGTTTGATTCTATTACAATATGCAATTCCTTTTTCTTTCTTTTTTTTGTAGAAGGGTATTCTATTGTTACAGCCTTTTGTATGTTTTTACGTATCATCTTGCCCATATTCTCTTTTACTTTTCTTTTCAATTGAGCCTAACTGTTTTACTATTTTATCTTTTGGTTCCTTTAAGAGGGTTATCTCCTACCTTTATTTGTTTAATTTGTTGAGATTGTCAGTTAGCTACTAGATATCCAGAGTAGAGCACTATAAAATTCAGATGTTTAGATTTGTCCATGAAAATTAAGTATGTATCTACACATCCAGCAATGTCTAGTGTCCTAAGGTACATGAGGAAACTCCCTCCCTCAAAGATTTAGAGACAGAGCTAATGATTGATGCAATCCCATAGTCACCACAGTTGATACTCGGTAAATATTTGCTAAATTGAGAGTGAGTTTGGGATAAATATCACAGTATGATTTTAAAGTGCTTTTCAACGTTAGAAAACGCATAGATCAGTGTGAGCAGAAGTGGATGAGTTAGACATTCTAGGGAAAAAAAATGTTATTGTTATTATTTTTAAGACAGAAAAGTGGGAAAAATATACAGTAGGGTAAAGAAACCATTTAGGTGAAGTCTTGGAAGTGGTGATAAAGTAGAATGTGTAAAAGAACATGTTGTGGGGGGAACAAAAGAACATGTGGGCCATTTTACTTAGTCTCAAAATATGTATGGTGTAAGGAGAAAGCCACAGACCCATGCGTTTTATATGAGAAAAATATTAAATGAGAATAATGATCAAAATGAGGATAGAAGAGTAGGAGAGGTCTCATAGTGGATCCCCTTGGGGATGATTTTCTTTGTCATGTTCTGAAGCTTATGCTTTGTAATTATAAAGAATGATCCTTGGTCTATTTCACTCTGTGATGGAGGCAAGGGCTCAGGGTTGCAGGAAAGGAAAATGGAGAGCGTGGGTCAGACCAAGGACCCAAGGCTGTGGCCTTCAGCAGCACTGGGCCTTCCAGTGGTGGGAGGTACTGGCTCCCATGACATCTGATAAGGCAGAAAGGTAATTAACCAATAAGAGACAAGGTGTTACTAAAATGTGGAGTTCACGCACCTGATTACTAATTAATCAGGCGTGAGAGCACCTTGTAGATACATTCACTATTTAATTATAGCAGCCTCTCTTGGCTAAGGAGCATATGTTCCCAGCTTAATCTACTGGTTTATACTGACATCAAATTGTCATTATCAGAAAGAATCAGGCCTTTTGATTATTTCCACTAATTTATTGAACACTTAAAATTAATGAACCCCAGGCCTTTTAAATGTGCTCAGTTGGTTTGGAAGATGGGAGGAGAAAGGCGGGTGGAGAGAAACCTTCATTAAAAGGACAATTTGTTTGGATAAAGGTAAAGCAAATACATTTCATGGGTGATCTGAACTCTGTTGGTGAAAAACACATGAATTCTAAAAGCTGAGCCTTCAAAGTGATTGGAAATAGGGTATAAGTTATGCCCTGCTGACCAACATTGGCCTCCAAATAACATATGGCTAAAAGTTTTGGGTTTTTTTTCCTAATTATTTATGTGCTAATTCTCTAGGAGACCCACTGCAATTAAGTTTAATTAAATAAGAGCAAGCAAAATCAAATCTTGGAAATCAATTGTTAGACTAACTAACAAGGACTTCATTTTTTATATTGAAAATTTAGTTAGATTGTGGAGAATTTAGCCACCTTTCTCTTATGTGACTGTTTTTCATATTAAGATGATCTCTGTATCACTTCCAAGTTGTGGCTTCTTTTTTTCAGTTTCAGGTGAAGGCCAAGTTCAAGTAATTCTCCAGGTGAAGGAAGGTGTGCCCCCAACTATTTCAGGTGAGTTTTAATCTATAAAATAGAAGTGTCTAGTACAACAGAATGTCCTCCAATAATAGTTCTACAAATTCCTCATGTCATATTGTTTATAAACAGGCAGGTATCAGACCTAATGCTTTTATGTCTAGCAATTCTATTGTGTCAGCCGTATAGCGAAAATATGTGTCTGCATGTCAAAGAAAATATAAGAAGGGTGTATATCAAAACATTGGAAAGTAAGAATTAACACATGTAAATAAGCACATTTCATAAATTATGGACCATATGTGCACACAGGAGTCCAGATCTGCAGATGGGCCATTAGGCCCCCACCAAATGGAAAGAAAAATTCAGGGCATTTCAAAACTTTAATTGTTCCCAGTAATTTCAGAAAATCAGGGTAAACAAACCCTCCCCTAAAGTCAGATGGTTCTATGAAATCTTTCTAACTCATAAAAGCCAAATTCTCAAAGGCTAAATGACTCGTAAGTACCTTCTAATGTATTTCATTGTTTGTTTTTGTTTATTCTGAGTCAATTTAACTATACATTTGCAGCAGAGATAAATCTTTTCAAAGGCTGAGTTTTCCTTTGATTTCCAGTGACAATTTTTTCCTGTGTCGGAGCAGAGCCCATGTTAATCAGAAAATGATCTAATTTCTCCACTGAAATTAATAAATGAGGTAAAGGTACTAGATTACAACTGTAAACTAGGAGTAATAACGGTTACCACTCCATGCTTATTAGACTAGGAAGAATGTGATTCTTTGTTTTCATAACTGTTTCTGAGCTGCCTTAGCGTTTTGCTCTGTCTCCTGTGCTTTATTTTCCCCCCTTTTTTTTGGAAATAACTAAGAAACTTTATTCACTCTCAACATCAAACAACTTCTTTTTTTATTTAAAAATTTTAAAATTTATTTTTCAATTATAGTTGATGTTCCACTTTATATTAGTTTAAGGTGTACAACATACTAATTTGACATTTATATAATCATGAAGTGATCACCCCAATCAGCCTACCCATTGGCATCATACATAGTTTATTATTACAATATTAATAACTATATTACCTATGCTTTACATCCCTGTGGCCATTTTTATTAATTAATTAATTAATTAATTATTATTTTTAATTTTTTTTTCAGTTACAGTTGACATTCAGTATTATTTTATATTAGTTTCAGGTGTGCAGCATAATGGTTAGACATTTATATAACTTATGCAGTGATCTCCCTCTGAAGAAGGCTTACTTTAGCCATCTCGTCTTTTCAGTAGAGGCTAATTTCAAATGTTGTCCACAACCATATGAGAACATTCAGGTGATCAGATATTCTCTCCCTAAATTTTCCACACAGATCTAAGTTTATTTCTTTTCCTCTCATCTCTGAGATTCTGTCAGCCTTTCTCCTGTTTGAAGTCAACCCATTCCTTCCAGCATCTTCTGAACATTGTCCCATCAGCAAATGACTCTTTGTCTCAGGTAGTTAACCTCTTTTTCTTTACTGGCTCCTTCTGTTCATTGCCTCCCTATTAAAACAAAACAAAATTTATGAATACCTACCTAATCCTTCTCTAGTTGATACCTCCTCTGCAAACTTCTCAAAAGAGTAGCTTCCTCTTCAATCAGAGCCATAAACAACTGGGGTGGATGAAGGATTAAGGTGGAGAGGACAGTATGTGGCTTGAGTATGAAGTTCAAGACCACCTCACATTTTGCTTGTTGTTGAGTCAAGTCTGTAGAGGAAAGCAGAATGGAGCTTTATCATAAATGTTGGTCCTCACCAAAATTCACGAGCTCCAGTTTCAAGATAAGTCTAACTTATCTAAAGATTGGGAAGATAGATCAAAGGCCGAGGGCCTCAAATCTTAAAGCTGTTCATTCTTCATTGAGCTTTGTGGATCATCTAACCCAATGTCTTCTCTTCCTTCTCTCCACTACATTCCTCAGTCCACTATAATCCACTGGTTTCCACCTTGCTGGTTCCACTGGGACTGATCTCATCTTGATCACCCATGCCCTGGTCACCAAATTCAATAGCCACTGATTCCTTCTTTTATCAGAACATGGCTATTAACAAGATCACTTCTTCCCTCTGGACATTCTCTATTTCTTAGGCTTCCAAGACATTCCTCTCGCTCCTCTCTCCTGGTTCTCCCTGTCTATCTCTGACTACTTCTTTAACTGTTTTAGCCTTGTTTTTTCTCTCCTCACCTTTCTATATTAATAATAGTCCTATAGAAGCCTGATCTTGACTGTATAGAAATCCAATAACTCTGCAGGAGACTGAAATGTGTTTCCTCTCCATTAACTGTTCTTATCTTAAGACAGGATGGTATAGTTTAGAATGATCAGATTTACTCATAATAACATCCTGTAGAATAACTACCTTAAGATTTATTTTGTTCAGTTAAAGGCAATTTTAGCCCTCCTACAACCAAGAGTGAAGATAACAAAAGGATTGGGGGGATGGGTGAAAAAGGTGAAGGAATTAGGAAGTGCAAATTGGTAGTTGCGAAATAGTCATGGGGATGTACAATACAGTATATACAATCTGGGGAATATAGTCAATAATATTGTAAAAACCATGTATAGTGTCAGATGGGTACTAGTGTTAGTGGGGGATCACTTCATAAGTTACCGTATTTTGCCGTGTATAATGCATACTTTTTTGCCCAAATTTGTGAGGGAAAAATAAGGATGCACATTATACGTGAGTAGTACTAATTCTGTGTCTATATAAATGTTTTTAATTCTTTTATTTATGCTTATGAATTAAAAGTGTAACTCTAGAAATCAGTAATGATATCCATATGTAAAATAATACTCTGGACTATGGCAATTGGTTTTGTTGAACTTGTGACAACTTGTAACAACGAAGCGTTCTTGGCCTTCTATGATGGGTAAATATAGTAAATTTGTTACCAGTACATAAAAGTTTTGTACCTGTATCTGTTCTTGTGTTTTGTGATTATTTGTTACATAAAATTTCTTGTACCATAATATGTTAAAAAATAAATGCTAAAAACAAGTACTTAAAAGTAAACAAATAAAAATTTGAATGAAAAATTAAAACAAAAGATTTTTCTCCCAAAAATTTGGCCAAAAACATAGGTGCTCATTATACATGGGAGAGCACTATACACTGCAGAATACAGTATATAAATGCCTAATCACTATACCTGAAACTAATATAAAATAATATTGAATGTCAACTATAATTAAAAAAATATATAGTCACGGGATGTCAAGTACAGCATAGGGAATATAGTCACTGGTATTATAATAGCTATGTACAGTGTCAGATGGGTAGTAGACTTGTTGGGGTTATCACTTTGTGAGGGGTGTAAATGTCTAATCACTATATTGTTTTGTACACCTGAAACTACTGAATGAATGAATGAATGAATGAATAAAACAGGAAAAAAAATGAAGAATGTTTGTTTCCAGCATCTGTGACATAAAACAAGTAATTAAGGGTTTTTGAGGCTTGGCATGGGCTTTTAAAGACCCTGTCATTGCCTGTTTAAAATACCACTGGAAATAAGGCATCAGGATACCTTTTTCTGGCCTTTGTGGTACTAGTTAGTGGCCACTTCAACAAATGCGCCTATCTTATTCCACTTGGATATTTAAGGTATAGTATTAGAAAGGAGGCAAAATTAAGTGAGAACTTAGAAAGATATTGTAGTATTGGTTTTTATAAAACTTTTATAAATCCTCTTCCTGAGTGAGGCTTGTTTTAAGACATTGCCTGATTCCCAAATGTGGGGTATATTTTGTGTTAATTAAATTGCCTAGGATTTCTACTTGACCACAATCTATATACTTTTAAATTACCCAGGAGCCCAAATTAGACCATGACTCACTGGGGAGTTGGAGTCAGGTAGACAAAATAATTGGTTATTCCCCATGGTTCTGACCACAGGCATTTTCTCTTTTCACACCATAATCCTTTGAAGCTATCACAACCATCCTCAGAGTTTGAAATCTGACCTCTGGGCATAGGATGCCAAAATCTCTCTCTCTAACTCAGAGCCCTCTCTCATCTTCAGATTCACAGCCATTCTCTGCTTGTTGTGCACCTTTACCTGGAGGCCTCACAGACACCCCAAACTCTGCATGGCCCAAACTGAGTCTCTCAGTGTACATCTTAATGGGCATCTCTGCCCATCACCACCTACACTGGAAACCCAGAGGTCCTTCCTGGCTCCTCCATCTTTGTTACCCTTCACACTCTGACCTCTGATTATTTCTCCAACCTCATCATTTGCCTCCTTCCAGCTCTGTGGCTTATCAACACCAAATTACCTCTAGTTCCTCCACTCGCTCTCTCATCTTGCCATTGCTCATGCTCTCCCTCTTTCTAGAGTGCAAACTCACACCATATGCCACTCTCCCTCTACCTACTAAGCATCAAAAATGCAGCCCAGATGCTCCTTCTCTAGGAAGTCTCCCCTGGAAAGGTCTCTTTCTCCCTTGGTCCATTAAAGAGAACTCCCTTCAGAGCTCTACCCTCGCCATATTTGGTCACACAGCTTACACAATGCTATTAGCTTCTTTGGGGACAGGTGTGGCATTACATTCCCTTTTTGTATCCCTATTCTTAGGACAATTCTGCTAGAGAAGGCACTGATTTTTTATGCTTATGAAATAGCAAGTAATGGATGAGATCTTCCCCTCCCATGAATCATGTGAAATCCCCCATGATGTGAGTTCTTGAAACTACCAGAAAATTTTCTTAGCCTGAGAAGAAAATATTTTTTACAGAACAAATGTATTTCCCCTATAAGATTTAATTCCACTATGATGGAATTAAGGTAATACTGAATAAAAGAAGATCTCTACTGGAAGATGAACATTTGGTCATCTGAATCTTTTCATCCTCTTTGGAGCCTTTCTGTCCGCCCTTCTGACTGTGTAATAGGGATCACATTCCAGGAAAAACCATGTGGGTACAGTTCAGCATGGTGTTATGCATGATGTGATACTGGGCATTCCTAATTGGAAATTAGTAGATTTATGTTTCAATTCCCTGATGAAGAAGCCAGTGGGATGGCTAAAAAGAAAATGCCATTTGATCATCACTGGCAGAATCAATAAAAACCATTTGGAACATATGAACTGTATGTAAATTACTGTAATTAGAGGTGTCCAGATTATTATTGTGTCCTTAATATGCTTTAAGATCTGTGAGATTAGGATCTTCTGATTCAGTGATTCCATTGCTAAGATTCTATTTCAAGAAGAAATCAGGGTAAGGGGGACGGCCGAGTGGCTCAGTTGGTTAAGAGCTCGCTCAAGAGGGCGAGCTCTGAGCAACAGCGGTTTGATGCCCAGCCCGAGCTGAGCTGCTGCTCAGCTGCCAACAGGTGGCAGGATGGCTCAGCTTGAAAAAAAAAAAAAAAAAAAAAGAAATCAGGGTTATCGGCAAATTTACTAGAGATATTTAACACTGCATTATTTATAATTTAAAAGGAAAGCAGAAAGAGCCTAAATGCCAAACATTAGGGATTAAGTAAATTATGGACTTTTTATATGATAAGATATTATATAGCCATTATATTTACAGAGAGTTTTAAAGACATTAGAAAATGCATTTGAAAAACTCTTAAGCTAAGTAAAATAAGAGCTGGATGTAAAATTGCATATATGATGTAATCTCAATTACATAAAAATGCTGAGAAACTCTGGAAGGAAATACAAATAAAAGGTTAATGGCTGTTATCTCTAGATAGTGAGATTATAGGCAATTATTATTGTTATTTTCTTTTTTATATTTGTATTTTCCAAATGTTCCATGATAAGCATATGTGATATTTATTCTAAGGCAAAACACAAATCTTTAAGAATAAAAGTAAGATGTGTTTTCCCCAGAAATTGAGGTAATCAAAGGATTGAATAATTACTTGCTTCATACCTGATAAATGTTTTTTTGGAAGGTTATAAAATATTAAAAGGCAGCTACTTTGGGAGGTGAAATTATCACCAGCACTCTAAAATACTAATAGGATTTTCAAGTGATCATAGTGAATAAGATTTTCAGTTTATTTTTACTTTTTTTCCTTTTGTTTTCTAGCTTCTACCTCTGTGCCTGAATCAGTTTTAACATGGTCTCTCCCTGAAGCATGGATGGGTGTTGAGGAGGGCTGGGGAGGACACAATCATACCGTTCCAGGCCCTGGGGATGACGTCCTGGTTTTACCAAGTGAGTAAAACTATCCATGGGTTAAATAATCACAGACAGACCGAACCAGGCTAATCTAGTTGGGGATTATTTGTCATTTAAAAAGATTGTACAACACAGTAAATAATGTGGAAAGAAGTAGGAATTTATGTCTACAACCTTCTTTCTTGGGTTAATATAGGAGAGAAATTTCATAATTCAGTGGTATCCAGGAACAATAATTTAGCCTGGTTTCTTTAAATGTGAAATAAGTGGTCACAATGCCAGGACTTAAAATAATCGACTAACTGTATACATTTTCTTATGTGTCAGAGAACAGATTTACAGCTTGTGTTTGAAAGATAAGGTGTATGGAAAGAAGCAATTTGCAAATGCCTCCTTATCTTTTTCCTTTGTGAATCTCTTACATGCAGGAGTGAGGAAAAATGACAAGTAAGGTCTTCTGGTGCCATGATTTTTCAAAGATGCTAGCAAAGGAGCATAAATAAAATAGAAAAATAAATGCCTATCTATCTATCTATCTATCTATCATCTACCATCTATCTATCAGTCTATCTAGAACCTTCTCCCTGTATACATACATATAGGAGAAAGATGATTCCTCAGACATACAGAAACATATATGCATATTTACAAAATTCTTCTTTCTTAGGTGAGAGTTACTAAAACTCCCAGAAAATCTGTCTATTCTGAGAAGAAAATATTTTTCATAGACCAAATATATTTTTCCTAAAAGACCTACTTACATTTATGGTTTGATTTGAACTTCTTAAGGTAATACTGAATAAAAGGAGATCTGTACTGAAAAATGACCATTTGGTCACCTGTGAGGTAATAATAATGATAATATCAAACATTTTTGACAACTAACAATATATTGGGACTTATTCTCCCTATATTTGCTCATTTAATCCTGACAATAACTCTGCGATGTAAATAATATTCTTAGCTCCATTTTTACTGACAGAGAAACAGAGGCCCAGGGCAGTTAAGAACTTGCCCGTGGTCACATAGTTTACAATTGAGCAGAGTCAGAATTTTAACCCAGGCAGTCTTACTTCAAGTCCATATTCTGAACCAATCAAGTACATTCTTTCTCTAAAAGGACTAAGAGTAAACTAAATAGAGGAGGTGGTGCTGTTTGCTTTATAAATGATGAAGAATGAAGGCAGAATGAGTAAAACGTGCTGACGACCTTCTGGTCAATGGCGGTGTGCCCTTGTAACTGCATAGACAGATGCAGGACAAGACGGAGGGAGGGGTCTGACCAATATGAACTTGAACTGATGTTATTTTCCAACTCCCCTCTCATCCACCTCTCTAAATGGAGGATGTAACTTTTTGAATAAACAAGCTCCTGAGTCATTCCTATACAGAAAGGAAAAATCTGTTCTGTCTTAGCCTTCTCTTTGATGAATCTAGCCAGCGGATTGGCCCTGGGCTATAGTTTTTCCCACTAAGCAAGCTGTTTCTCCCACCCTATGCAGGAAGGAAGAGAAGCTTTTGAAGGTTGCCAAGCGTTTAATATCCTCTGGGGCCTTTATGCTGAGTGAGGAGTAATCTCAGCTATCTTGCTTGGCATTGCAGTTGCCTGTATCCGCTCTGTGCCTTGGCTGATCAGGGTCTCTGGCATTCTCCATCATCCTTTGTTCGTTTGTTCATGGTCAGCTCATAAGATGGGCCTGAATTCTCCATGAAGTTGCTCTTAAATAGAACAAATCCATCAGTGCTTTGGAAAACGTTGTATGTGTGTAGGGAGGGTGGGGCGGGCATAGGCAGTGGACATATAAAGGTATTTCCTGATTGGCCCTTCAGTATTACTGTGAGAACCAGAGAAGTTACGATTTTTAAAACATGTAGTTACTGTTCATGGTTTTTAGCTTTCAAATGGAAAGATAAGTGAATGAAAACAGATATGTAATATATAACAAATGAAGTCCTTACTGTTTTCCTGTTGCCTTTCTCCTCTTAATAAGCCCTCTTTGAACTCCAGCAAATTATCTTTTGGGACCAGTATGTTGATTCATAGTTCTGTTCAGTTTGGGGTTTTGTATAGGAGCTGTTCTGGCTTACTTTTTCTCTTCTGATTTTTGGCAAATCCTGATATTTTTACCTCTGATGGACCTTTGGGTTTAATTTACCTCCTCTTTCTACTTGTGGTTTGCATTCTTAACCTTTTCCTGGCTCTCCTGGCTTCTTTTATTCCTTCTTTGAATCAAATACATTTGTTCATCAAAATCTGGCACAAAATAGACACTCAATAAGTGTTGCTTGAATGAAATGCACATGTCAATGTTACCATCCATAATTTAATACCAGAAATACATCTTTGAGTAGACCATAGTACAACTATAAGATTTTACAGGTCTATGGAAAATAACATTTTCTCCTTTGAACAGATCCTTAAGAATTAATTTTTAAGATAATGATACTGATGATGTTAGCAGCAGCTACAATTTTAGTGCTTGGTGAGTGCCATGCCCTGTACTATGTGTTCTACATGGATTTTCTTAATTAATTCTCACACCTACTTTATGTGAGGATCCTGTTATTATTCTCCTCTTTGTAGCTGAGAAACCTGGGACACAGAGAAGTTAAGTAACTTGCCCAAGTTTCATTCAGCTAGTAAGTAAAGAAGCTGGGGTAGAAAAGCAGACAGTTTGATTCTAGTACCCTAACTCTTTTATCATATCGTTTTTTAAAAAACTCGCCATCTCTGCCTGCTCTGGTTCATTCAAATCAGACTACATTTTATACGGAATCCATACTTGTCTGTTTGCTATTCATATTGTTCCCTTCATGTGGAATTAAGTGAAGAAACTCTACTATTTACTGAGTATCTAGCATATGTCAGATACTCTACTTGAGGAACTCAGTCTTACCACATGCCCATTAGGTACACACACATGGCAACACTGGGGAAACTTCCCAAAGAGGTATCTGATGTAATGAGCCATTGGTAAAAGCATTTGCTTTGCATCTGGTAGCAAATGGAGTTGTAATTCAAGTTAACACTCCTTCCCAATTCAGTTTAACCAACATTTACTGAACACTTGCTGTGTTCAAGGCTCTGAACCAGGTGCTCCTGATCTGAGGCTCCAAAGGCAAGTCAGATATAGCCGTGACCTCCAACAGCTAATGATCTCAGCTGGGTAAATAAAATGCATAATCCATAATGATACAACAAACAGTGGTAATCAAAACAGAAGTGTTTAGAATCAAAGTGTCTTAGGCAAGCAGAAGAGAGAGGGCTTCATGGAGGAAGAGGCATTTGAAGTGGACCTTGAAAGATAAGGTAGGAGTCTAAGGGGCATTTAGGAAACCAAAGGGCATATTGGGGAGGTAGTGATACTTTGGGAGATATAGGAAGGGGTTATTGACTAAGATAAACCTGGGTTCATGTTTGGATTCTAACATTTAACAACTGTGTGACATTGGACAAGTTTTAAACCTTTCTGACCTTCTTCTGTAGCATGAAGGCTATAATTAATATATCATAATGTTGAGAAGATTAAATGAGATAACATCAGCACACATGACCACTGCATAGAGTAATGGAATTGTAGATGAAAGCTGTGATTTTTAATGTATTGGGTGCTCTTTTCTTTCATTTTTTCCATCTGGCTGCCCCTATTGGCCTCTGGTATTAGCGACACTTTGTATTTGCTTTCCAATGGCTTATTATTTAATTTTCACAACATCCTTGGGAGCTAAATAGGTAATAACTATTATTACAGTAAAAACCCATTTTTACATAATACGATTTTAATGGAACTGCTGATTTTATAAAATGAAAGTGACTGGTAAAGAAGATTTAAGTGATACTTTTGAACCTCTAATATAATTTTATGGTGTTTTGTGTATTTTAATTCATTAATAAAGGAAATGTGTAGAACATTCCCATCATTATTCAAATAGAATAGCATAATTTTTCAATAAAATTCTTAGGGTAAATTGCCTATCTCCATTTTCTGGGAAATCAGTTTTATGGAATGACCTCAGACCCATCCTATTCCATAAAAATAGGACTTTACTGTACTAATAAAAGATATCACTATCTTAAGTATGGTACCATTTTCCTTCGAGGCGTTCTGTCTTTATAGACATTGGATTTTGAAAGAGTTGTAAATTGTTCTTAGTGGTATTGTATGGGGTAAGCTGAGGTAATTATAAAAAATTTGCTCTTGTAGTTTTGTTTATGATAACTTTGCTTCACACAAACAAGTATGTCTGATTGTCTTTGCCTCCTAAATATTGGGAGAATTGGTGTAAATGTATTCTAACATCTTACACGTTCTATCATACTATCACATTGAAAATCTTAAACCTTCAGAAAGGTAGCTGGTCAATGGTGAAAATAATCCTGCTAACTTGTACTTCGTGTTTTGTCCTGAACTGATCTGAGAGGATTTGTGTAAGATGCTTCCAGTGCTTTCTCTGAGGGAGTTTCAGCTGTGACAAGATGACACCCTTTTCACACAAGGCAGGCTTAATGAAAGGAAAATGTGTTATAATTCCAAATGATAGGATTCTCTTTTGAAGGGTACAGATATGATATCATATAGCCTCTGGCGCGCGTGTGTGTGTGTGTGTGTGTGTGTGTGTGTGTGTGTGTGTGTGTGTGTGGTAGAATTCACTGTGTTCCATTTTCTGGATTACTTTGAACTGTTCTTATTTGAAGATGAATGGGAGAGTACTGTTTTTCTTTTATAATAGTTCTTCTGTTATGATTTTCAATACTCGGGTACTTCAAATGGCAGAGAGGTTCATCAAAGTCATATGATGTTAAAAGATGGCAATATTTAATGCATTTCCTTGTTAAGTCTCAAGGCATTCAGGTTGGTGATATGAGGTAAGATCATAAATCAGGAAGTAGTATTGGGGGGAGGAATTTCTACAAAGCTTTATGATATAGCATTATTAGCTTAACTTACCTTTTTCTTACCTGAAATTATAACTGAGTTAGGGTAAAATACACATAATTCAGAAATTTAGGTCTGTATCATCAATTAGAAACCAAG